ATTTAGCGTTTGCTCGACTGACTGATTTTTTTTTATTTTTATTATCGTCTAATCAAATAATTCAAGTCAAATAAACACACGATCACTGTCATCTTAAATCTACTAAAAACATGAAATAAACACAAAACAAATATCTAGGATGTTTTTACATTATATTCCTTGTATTATAATTTATTTTACTACAACTAAATCGTTGTGCTCTACAATTCTTTGCAATGGTTAATAGGAAAATGTATGTATTTACTATTAATGTAGCGTTGTTAAATAAATTTATATTACAATAGCCAATACAAATTAAATTATTACCTACGTTTGTAAGATCTCACATATATTCTATGCATTTTATTTTCCCTCAACACTTTTTAACTACAAAGTTATGCAAACTTTAAGGCTTATCCTTTCAGAAATAAAAAGTGAAAGTTTGAGAAAACTATTGTTGACAAAAATAAAGGTTTGCTACAAACCCCTATAACAGTAACTCAATGAATATAACATTGATTATTTCTTAATAATATTTTCAAGTTGTCACATTATTACTAACTGATAATTTGGGAAAAAAATATTTTTGACTTAGCTTTTTTTAAAATAAATTTTGTCATTTTGACGTAAATAAACTCTATGTCAAGTAATTTTAACTATAATATAAGATGTTAAGTTTAGTCTATACTAAAAATATAAAAAGGGATCGTCTATTTTTGTATGAGAAGTGGAGAAGTTTTTTAGTTCATTCGTTAATAATTTAGAAAATACACAACTTTCCTCTTTCTTATATTATTGATGATTTCGTTTACAGTAAGTATTAATTTCACAATTTACAAGAAACATCCCTTCATGCACTACACGTACCTACAGATACCCCGGTGTTCTAACGGACGACCTCAAAGTTCACCGCAAGTTCATCGCGAAAGTTCGCGAAGTGTTGTTTGATGATTTGCTATTTTAAAAGAGTACCGAGAGTTTTTTACTCTGGCTTTTTCTTTAGGACTCCACACAAAACTGCGATGCGATGCGAATTCGCATCGCAGGAATTTGCGATGCGAATTTCTGCGATACGATTTAGTGCGACAAACCGTTTGGTAGGGCGACCATTCCTTCGTAGTCAGCCGTACTGGACGTGTTTTTAGGACGCGTAAGATGGATCGCAAAAAGATAATTGCACTGCTGTTATTGTTAAATAGATATAAAAGAAAAAGAAGATTCTGGGTTCATCCATTTATTACGATTATGAACTCTGATGCAAACTTTCACAGACGCTCTTCCACGCATCTTGCTTAATAAATTTATTTTTATAATGTTAATCACTTGTGTCCCAAAGGACGGGACGCTCCTCAATTAAAAATGTTAAAAAATCCATATCATATTCCGCAATTTTTTATAAACAAAGAAGGCGGTGGAGGCGCCGCGCGTCTTTCTCTAAAGCTGTCTCAGAGCGGACTAAAATGGCGTCACCAAGGATGACGTAATATCGCAAGAATGTGCGATGCGAAGCAGATCGGAACTTCTTGCGGTGCATTCGTGCGAATTCGCAGATATTTGCGATGCGATGCGAATTCGCAGTTTTGTGTTGGAGCCCTTAAGTGCCCTGTAAACGATCAAATTGTTTGACAAACGCCTCCAACACAGCAGTACACTTTCAAATAATTTGACAAACACGTAAAATTTGACAAACAATTTGATCGTTTACAGGGCACTTTAGGCCTACACCCTCTGTCTTCTTTGCCGATGAGTAGGAATGTCAACCGATTCAAATTTAATGACGTGGAATAAGTGATACCTGTAAAGATTTCGACAGGTTACTATCGAGATGTAGACCAAGGTATAGTATAGGTTATACATAGGTTACAGTTGAGTTTCATCATCGACCGTCGAGGTAGAATACAAAATACCATCCGTATCACCTCAACATCCCTACTAATGTCTACCAATTCAAATTAAATGACGTGGAATAAGGGATACCTGTATCTTATATTCCAGAATAAACATTTTTTTTTGTTTAACGCTGTTCATTTTGTGCGATTGGTATTAATCCTACAAACATAGATGATACAACAGTATAGTTTATAAAACTTAAGCCATTTAAAACATCGCTTACCTTATCACGAGCCAACTGGAACTAGACAGTAATATAGACTTCATCGTAAAGTTTAATTGCAACGAACTTTTATGTTATTACTACTAAGTTAGTGCGCTTGCAAGTGGAATAATGAATACGAAATAAATGGTAACTTCAAATGTAACAGAGAACCTTTGCTACTAATTGGAACGAACAATAAAATTGAATAGTTATGTACAAGTCGTCGGAAATATCTGCGAACCTGGCTTAATGACGTCCGAGAAATTGGGGACTAGCAAAGAAATTGAAGATCCGTAAAAATCACCACTACGTCCTCGTTGTGTACTTACTTTTATGTGATACTCGTACCTCACTTACCATCTCACTACAGCACTTTTAAATAGGTAGTTGCTGTAATATTTCACAAATCAGAGAAACAGTAAACATTCTATGAAAGTGGGATTACGATAAACAATAAAGTACAAGTGCGGCTCCCACCTTGCGTTGCAACGGTGAAGGCAAAACAGGTCGGGATGCGGGGGCGCAGCGAGAAGGACTGCTTCAGCGACTGATTCGCAGATATTTCCGACGGCTGTAATAGTAAAACTGCTGTTGCCGAGATTCGGGAAGTGAGAAAATACCACCGTATCACCTCGTCCGGTTGCACGAGCGTTTCTTTAAGCAGTTTTTGCCGGGCAGAACCACTATTTGGAACCAGCTGCAGCTGAAGTATTTCCAAACCAATTCGACTAAGGGTCCTTCAAGAAATAAGCGTACCAATTCTTAAGGCCGGCAACGCACTGGTTCTGCAATGTGAGTGTCCATGGGCGACGGTATCACTTAACATCAATCAAATTATTCATGATCAAAACTGTATATGCCAACTGCATATAAAATTAATAAATCAGAACCCAATAATTATTGTATTGATATACAACTTCTACCCGACTAAGCTATAGAACGTCACCTTTAGTTCATCCTGCCGTACAAAAATATACTTTTTACCATTCGAGTGTGGACACAGTCCAGTGTCCTCAAGTCACATATTAAGTTTAGTCTGCGTGACAGGATTAGAGATATATAATATGTGTGTTATATTATATCTATTAAAAAACACTATTCGTTTGCACAACCTATTTGTTCTATGATCTTTGGGAGTTCTGAGAAAACTACCTCTAAAGAAAACACTTTTTAACCGGATTAAAGTTTTATAGAGAAGACGGCCTAAAATTGTCAAACACCTGGGATCCAATAATATCCAAATTATAATCTCAAAATAAACAATCCGCGAAAATAGAGGACACCGTGAGCCATTTCTGCCAAAACCCTCCATCTTTTAGTCGATACCAACTCCGGGGAAATAAATACAGATAATGCAATTTTTCTACAACTGTGATACTTTTTTTGACATCCAACACCTTTTGTCTTCAGTCACCGTGACCACGCACGCTGTAAAGCACGCGAAACGACGGTTAAATTTAAAATTATGTAAAATAATTGTAAATTTATAATAATACATAACTTTAATCCGGTTAAAAATTGTTTACTTTAAATGTGTAAAGGTTATGTTAATAAAAGACAATGCTAAACTACCTCTAATCATTTTAAATAATTTATTGGTTTAGCTTAGCTTATAATTATAATTATTTAAGATAGGTGAAGTGCCTACCTTCTTTTGTCGTTGTATGCTTCTCTGGTCTTTTGAGATCTTAACTTATTTCTGGTTGTGTTTTCCAACTTAATACTGCCTTAAATAATTTAATTATACAGCTAATAAAGATATAGCTTCCCAAACTATCAAATTCGACTAAGAATACGAAATGTTATTACTATTTCTTAATTTCCTGAACCTACTTTGTTCGCAAACCATATCTCGCATACAAACCACGGCTTCAAGAATATTGTGTGCATTGCGTCCTCCGCAAATAAAAGCCATAAATCACGTTCAATTTGCAAAGAAACATTTCGCTAAAATCGTAATGAAGATATATTTAAAAGCTTCTTCAGTCTTAATATATATTTTTGTATGGCCCTATGCTACCTTCAACTTTGAATGTTTATATTTTTAAAATGAGGTAAGAGAATGAAAAACAAAAGACGAAATTATGCATCGTGATGCGTGTCTCTGATTGGATGATGTGTGTTGACGTGAGTTTGCAATGGAAAAAATTACTCCGATCAAATACACAAAAATGTATTTATTTTAAGTTGCTGATTTACAATTCCAACGTGTGCAGTTAATTATACGATTCACAGAACATGAAAAAAATATGATTAATATTAAAATGTCATATTTTAAGGTGTAAAGCTTCCTATTGCATATCTGAAGGTAGCCCTATGCCACTAATGTTCTCGTGATAACCGGCCGCTTTGTATGTGTATGTGACTCTGATCAAACACTTATACACTAATATCTCCTGTGTTAATCAGACGCAACAAAAGACGTTGGTATGAAGAACATAATAAATGTTTTGAAGTTGTTACATAAAATTTCTTTAAAATAACTATTCTATACAGTACCAAAGCTACTATTTATGTAAAGAAATAATTATATGTCTTTGATTAGATTCCTTAGATTGTTAATTATCTATTATGTACTTATAACTGACGTTTCATTTAATTTGTTTGTTAGTCTGTGGAAAAGACGCTAGTTTTGGCTTGTCATTTGATTGAGTAAAAGTGGTTTTTTTATTGAACATTTAGGATTTCAAAGGAATAAGATAAGAATTAGATAGATAAAAGGAAGTAATAATTGTTTTCAAGTACCTAAGTAATGAGTTCTTATATTATCTTTTTGGCAGTCACTCTACAGATTGAAAACTGTTTTCATATCTGTTGCATTACATTAAAGTTAGTTAAACTAATCTACATACTATGTTTTGAGTATTGACGATTGTTACGACAAGACTTGAATGAAATTGAAGTAAATGATACATTATTTCAAAACTTACCTGCGATACGACTGAGGAGCGACCGGCCAGCTACGCCTGGACCGTAGCACTAGGCCCACTCGTGGCATGGAGCCCTGTGTATTCCCCATTTGTGGGGCTGATGTGCGCTTGCGACTCCAACCTCGACGATTATTGTTTGCACCCCACAAATGTGATGTGCCGTGTTCTAAAAAGAAATATAATTTTAAAGCTTTCGTTCAGATAAAAAATACTTTAAAGTTAATTTTGTTAATTGGTTAATCTACAGAAGTCATTTTTAAAATACAACTGCGGTTTAAACAGCATTGGTTATTCTCCCTTTAAAAACTTTATTAAGTTATAATAATATGATGTGGAAACAATTAAATTATCCGTAATGATATTATTTCGTAAGTCTTTTGACATTAAACTTTTGAGCAATACATTTTAAGCACTTAATGAAATTGTTTTTCAACACATAATACTATAATATAAAATATTTCAATTTAAATATTTATATTTTTTAGTTCTGTGCTACTCAGATTCCTGTATCTGAACACTACTCTCTTTCAATCTTCAGATAACAACACAATATATTATTCTATTAATGATTATTATTTGCATGAAACATTAAAATTAATATTAATTTGATAACGTAATAATATTTTGTCACTACACATAATATAAGAATTCTCTATAATTATAAGACTCATAATGTATGTAACTTCTATATAAAATTCCTTTTAAGACTAATTTGTACGCCATTTTGAGTCGCAGAATATTGTACCACCATACATTTTTGTACCAAATTCCACCATATAAATTATTACAAATAGTCATTATTCTTGGATACTCGTAGATAACTTCTGTTCCTTAAGCAGACGTTGAAGCCGTTGAATCTGCTATAGCAAGGGTAATGTACGAGTACTCGTATTTTACCATTGAAGATAAAATGAATATTATTAAAGTTTTCGATAGAATTATGAATTTTATAGGAATCATGACGTAAATTGTAAAATTTAATAAGGAAAAGGCTGCTGGAACATACGGAAATCATACTAACCATGTCGGGAATCGTAGATCCATAGTTTGTTTAATAAAATATACTGATGTGATTCAAATAAATTATAAGATACCTCAAATCAAAATTAGAACTGTGTGTGTTCTAGCGAAATTATAGGTTGAGTAATTTTAATACAAAACAAAAATTTTAAAAGCTTTCAGCTAAAACTTGAACTGAAAAAGAAACAAAGTAGTTAATCTAATTAAAACGTTCCTTAACAAACGATGACAAAAATTATTTTTGCTCTTTTGCTTATTTCGGAATACAATTGTTTTTATCATTTGCTACTGTACCGGCTTTAATTTTTCTTAGAAATGTAGTACTACGTATTACGTTTATTAACTAAGTGAATGGTCAATCCTTTCTATGTATAATGTATATATTTTCTATGATTGGAAAGGGAAAGCAGCATATCTAAGACCTAAAGACAGCGTTGACAATTTTATCTACTTGCCGAAATAAATGATAAGACAATCTAAGGCAATGGGTAATGCCATACACCTCTTCTTCACAAACGGAGTTTGGGTTTATATTTAAAAATAAATGGAAAATGTCACATTGCTATTATAATTTTATTATTTGGTAGTTGGGCCATCGGAATTTGATTTTATAATTTCATTCAGATTCACATGCGTGACCTTATTATGTTATATACAAATCGTATTTTGAAATTTATCAAATAAAATAATAATTCACTGTGCATTAATCAAATGATGATAGCTAACTAATCTCATATTAAGGCTAGATTCATGATTACGTAAAGGAGTGTACTATTCTTTCAACCTGAAACATCTTCTACCACATTTACCATGGAGAATGTTCAGAGGAGTTGTTCGGCAACTGAGTTTCATCGTCGGACGTCGAGGCAAAATACGAAATTCCATCCGTATCACCTCGACGTCCGACTTCCACAACTGAGCTTTATTTATGGCAGTTTTTGCCACACACCACCACTATGTTGAGCCAGCTGCCCATTGAAGTATTTTCGAACCAATTCGACTTAGGGTCCTTCAAGAAAACAGCGTACCAATTCTTAAAAGTCTGGCAACAATCTTGCGAGCCATCTGGCCTTGTTGTCCATGTGTCTCTGGCATTGTATTACTTAACATCAGGTGAGCCTCCTGCCCGTTTTCCCCCTGTTATAAAAAAGGAACCGCTTTCAATCGGAGCACTACACCCTTTGGGTGTCTCCCAGTGTCGAAATGTTGGTCAGTGGTCGAAAACACTTTTGGTTGCGCAATTCAGGTTAACATAGTACTTATTGCCGCAGATTATTGATATCGCTAAGATTCGTTCGAGCCAATCATTTGTAAATATATTAAAAAGCAGGGATATTTTGGCTTCAAAAACTAACTAAAGTACATTTAAACAATTGTTATAATGTATATGAGTATAATTATATAAATTAGCCCATTACTCGGCTGAGTTTGGACAAAATTGTTGTCAATCACAAAATAATTAGCGGTTAAGCGTGACAAAGGTTTAAATTTATAATAGTCCTTTGAAGTATTTCATTTCACAAGTTAATAATCTGACTCAGAGAACCATTCTGTCTTGACGTACTTATTCATAGACAAATTAATTGTAAACACGATATTTATTAGCAAAATTATTTCATTTAGCTGTGTCATCTCAAGATTAAAATATGCAATATACTAAAGAAATTCTGAATGTGCATAGTTGTTATACATAATCTGTTAACAAGCACAGCTATTTTGTGGAAATAACGATTTAAAATTTGCAATACAAGGAGCCCTGGGCCCTTTCAAAGATACCAACGGGGATCCGGATCTCAATTACGAAATTTTGTTTCTCGCGATTCCAAGGTTGCGTCAGTTGGATATTGAGAAAACTACATTGATTCCACACAAAAACATCTGAATTGATATAGCTGTGCCTTTTGGAAGTTTTGCAGTACGGGCTCATAATCTGCTTTTGTGTGAATCTTTATTTGATGATCATAGTAGTTACCGAGACGCTCGATTCCTTATTCCTTATCATAACCAAGTGATACAATTCTCTTTATTTTTTCCACATCCTAACCTCTTTTGCTTATTAACAGTCGCGAAAAAAAGTTACCAACATACGAAACCAGGCTAAAGCACTTGAAAATGTTGTCATTGGAGAATCGTAGAAAATTAATATATCGTTTGCGTTTAAGATATTTAAGAATCAGGATAAAAGATTGCCTTGTGGCATTTAAATTTCGTATACTCTCTAGATACCCAAGGCATGCCATCATTCCAGTTGTCCCTCCTTTCAGAAGAACGAGTTTTGTCCAAAACTCGATATCCAGATTGAGCATTCTGATAAACGAGCTAGGTCTGGATGTCCAGAGTTGGTCCCCTCACACTATAAAATCAATTTTCTTTTATTTTATATAATTTATGAAACGATGTATTGGTTATCTCTTCGTGTTTGTCATATTTGCCTATATAAGTGCTTGTCACATTAAATAATGTATTTTTTTCTTAAGTACCAACGCTCGGCACACTGAGCGTTGGTAGGCTTTTGTAATTAAATAAAGAGTCTCTAATTAACTTGACAACGAGTTCCTTAATTTGTGAGCACGTGTACAAGTACCAATAAACATACATATCATACAAAGAGTAAGACCGCGTCATTTCAAAAGACAATTTACGTATTAAATTTAACGAGTACATTTACATATAAATAATGTAAGATAGTTATAACATCCTTATTATAATAATAACTAACACATTTAAAATATATAATGACATAGCTAATGACTTGAGCTATTATATATAATGGAATATATTTTCTCTCTTGGCGTTAAGAGAAATCAAATTAAACTTTACTCGAGTACCCTTAAAAAATATACATATAACTTTCCATAAAAATTATTAATGAAGAGGGATTGAGAAGTAATTCAGTAATTAAAAGCGAGAGCTTAGTCCTAATAAATAGTATTTTAGGAATTCAAAAAAATCGTGTTAATGATATAAAGGGATATTACTATTGTAATTATCTAACAATACCAGTACTGTTTCAATATTTCTGAAAATTGCTGCAATAAAAAATCCATCTATATAATTACACAAGCTGGCTAACGACTGTCATTAGTGTACATAAAAATATTAAGGGGCTACAATTATTTTTCTATTTTTTGTTATCTATCTATATAACAGAATTACATTGGATATTATTATATTGGACCAAGTAAGCTATGTTAGCAACTTTTTGGAATTTAAAATATAAATTAATTTAATAAACAGCTTACAATTCAATTTAAAAATTATTAGATCTGCTACTTCCACATAAGCTGTAGTTTAAAAAACCGTGAGAAATCATAAAATGTCGCTCAACGAATAAGTATCGTAATACAGCCAGGAAAAGCTGCCAGCATTAAAGGTACACTGCCACAGGGACCAAACCTTTTCAATTTATTTGAGTTTCCTATATATCCATTTTTTATTATTATTAGTACTATGTAGGTTAAGAATATTATAAATACTATATTTCTGTGTGTTATAAAAAAAACTTAATATATTTTCGAAGCCAATCACTTAATTTCAATTACAAAGGTATTTTCAATTAATTTTAATTCAATCTTGTAATATTCAAAAAATAAAAAATTTAATTAAATAAGTACTAAAATGCATATAAACATTAAATCATGTCATTATACTTTAACTAGGTTGTTATGATGGTATATGGATACTCGGAAGCAAGTATTTCTTTCTAAATAATCTTCTTCTCCATATTATTCATTACTGAAAGTCATGCTTGTCTTGTAAAGCCCTAACCGATACGTCGGCTTGCTGCCTCCACGCCACTCTATCCTCAACTTCTCTCAGTGCATTAGGGAAAACCATATTGTCTTAATTTGGTTAGACTAACGGATAGGTGTACAGCCCCAAATTTTCCTGCCATCACTCCTTTATTTCCAGTTTGTCGAGACTATTCGGTTATCTCCTAGCAATAGAGCCAAAGTAGCTAAGCACCCGTTTGTAAATGATAGTTGCCAGCCTTGTGGTAATCTTTAGTTGTTGAGAATGAATTTATTGGTTCTTTTTGCAGTCTATGGTATTCGAAAAATTCGCTATATATTTTTTTCGGTCCGCTGCACAAATTGGTCTGATGGTACAAATGGAAAACACCAAAGTTCTGCTCTAGGTAGTATTCGACACGTTTCTGTTTTGACATACTCTAGTACGTTTGCTCCTTGCTTCTGTAGCCATCCAAGTTTTCCTACGGATTTCCTCGTCACATGCTTCCTGGTTATTTATGAGTGATCTCATATAAACAAATTTCCACCAGTTCAACAGAACGTGTGAAGAGTCCAGCCCGATCCACTAAAATGACTTTTGACTTTATGTATAGTTTAGAATATTCATGAGAAAAAAAAATCTAAATATACATTTACAGTCCTTAAATCAATTTAGACAGCGGCAAGAAACCTTCGGCATATAACTACTAATTTAATATCATCTATCACCTTTGATGGTTACATAACCAAATCTAGTTATTTGATTTACGTGTTCGAGTATTTTATTTTATTTTCCAATTTAAATAAAATTTCTGTAACATCGGCATTTATTATTTGCATACTCGTAGGTAGTCGTTTAGATTGTTGTTCAGTCTGGTTAAAAATTGTTATTAGTAATTTCGATTGCGTCATTGTAATCTGTGGTGTTGATTTAGCTAAACTACGAACCTAGCTTAGTAACAACTGCCATTTTTATCTCTTTTATTCTGAAGCTGGAGTTAGAAATTTACATTTTAGTAGCATGTCAATCTGTACCCTTAGTATCGTGACGTGTACTGTAATTCAAAAAACATTTCCTGGAAAAATTTGGCGCGAATTTTCCCAACGAATTTCGCAAACACGTCAGTCCTTTTTGGCGATAAAAACAAAACACGATCACCTCTTATTTTTATTGTCAGTACTTACTATGAACACAATCAATGAGTGTCAACACAAAACCTTTTTTCTATATGTTTAAACGTGGTAGGATGATAAAAATCCAGTGTTCTTTATTTATAGAACAGGAGCCAAACGGGCAGGAAACTTTTTTAGTTTAGTGATACCGCCCATGGACACTCAATGCTAGGGGCCTCGTGAGTGTGTTGCTGGCCTTTTAAGAACGCTCAAAAACGCGACAAAAACTGTCACGAAGCAGAGTTTCGACTTCAGACACAAGTTCCGGTACTAATCGACAACTGCCCTAGAGAAAGAGTATCCCCCGTGCTGTCGTCCGCATAGCAATTAATGTTGCCGACTTGCAACATATCATTTATTTGTAGAAGTTAGGCCTAGCTTTTTATAGACTTTAATTTGTGGGTGTTATACATTTTACACTCCTCGTAGTGTTGCGCACATAGAAAGAACCCATTGTCGCACAGCCAGGATTCAAATGCAAGACCGAGGTACGCGTAACCACTAGACTTAACACTTCTGTTACATATTATTATTATATTTTTATAATGACAATAGATGTGTCAAGTGTTAGTACGTAACTCATTAAAAATTAATTTTCCCTTGGCATACCGTTGAACAATAGCATCTTCTTGGCATATGTGAAGAAGAACATAATGCTTTTGTTTTATGCTTTTTGATACACGCTTTCTTTAATAACTCAACCAAACATTCCCGAACACAGCGAACAAAGAAAAGAAAACAGTTGAAAATCGCAGCATATTTATGTTCTTAAAATGTTTAATAAACGGATAGTGGTGCATCATAAAGTATAACTTTAATATAATTATTAATACTTACTTATGCTTTTTACTTCATCTGTAGTAGAGGTCGTTAAGTATCTGTTTGACACATCAATATTTGAATGCACTTTGGTAAACTATTGGCTAAGATAGAGACTGAAAAGGGCTGGAGGAAGCCTTCACACAAGGAGCGTACATATCCACAGGCGACTAACAATGGCTGACAAATCACACTTGTCGCAGGTTTTGTTTTAAAAAGAAACAGAAAAGAAGAATTTGATTTATACCTTAAAGTACTAAACTGTAGACATTAGATTAGAAGTCTGTCTTGAATAAATTATTCAAGAACTAGAATGTCAAAAGTAGTCATTTTTACGTAGTAACTAACGTCAAATACACCTCCTCCCCACCCACACAATAACCCACCAGCCACTAACGTCAAATACAGCTGACGCAAAACACAATGAATAAAGCAACAGGCACCCCCCCCCCCCACCCACCCCCCCCCCCCCCCGGAAAAAATCCCCCCCCCCTTTCCATAACAAAACGAAGTGACTGAAACAACAGAGAACTGGCCGTGCAATATTGCAGTTGAATTCGATAGCCTAGCGATCGTCCGGCCACCTACCGCGGCAACATCGGCCATATGTGGCTATACAAAACATCGTTTGGCTATATGGCCGGGAAATTACTGCAATATTGCATAGTGTGGCTGCTATTGTTTGCAATGTTGCCGGCCACTGTGTTGCAGCCATCAACTGCAGCAAAACATGGCCCGTTTAGACGCGCCATTAGATTACATTGGCCTAGTGGCTTCAGCTTACGACACTCATCACTGAACCAATGAATTTTCTTTTTATGTGCGCACTTAAAATTCGCTCGAACGGTGAAGGAAAACATCGTGAGAAAACCGGCTTGTCTTAGTCGACGGCGTGTGTCAGGCACAGGAAGATGATCACCTACTTGCCCAATAGACCATGAAACAGATACAGAAATCTGGCCCAGACCTAAAAAGAATGTAGCGCCACTGATTTATTTTATTTTTGATTAATACCATTGGAGTCCTATTGTCGAATCTTATCATCTAATATATATAATTATACAATGTTCGTTCCCATAGTCCTCCGAAACGGCTCGACCGATTCTAATTTTTAATCTAAAATTTTTGCATATTGAGTAAGTCTGAGAATCGGCTACTATCTATCTTTCAAATCCCTAAGTGATAATTTTTTAGACACAAATTTTTGTTTTTATTTTTTTATGATACAGCATACAAAATTACATACAACCCTTAATTGTCACCCTCTACGATCAACCCCTATTTTTTATTATAATACATAGTTATTTTTATTGATCTAAAAAAATGTTCCCTAGAATTAATATACATGGCAAAACAACGTTTGCCGGGTCAGCTAGTTGTCTTATAAACTTAATGCGTGATGCCAAAGTTAGACAGCAGTTAATTTACGGTCGAATTAAACGTAATATTCAACTCACGTGGGTAGTTCTGATGCGGTCCTTGCTCGGAACAGGCGCGGCGTCCTCGCGCACTTAAAAGCACCTCCCGCCGTGGTGGTTCAGGGATCTCACTCAAGTCAATATCGCAACCACCACCTTCCTCCCGACCTTCCTCCACCACGCACGCTGACATATTTAGCTATACACCCGTAAATAGGCGTTTATTTTGCTTAAACTGGCCGTTTAACTAGATTTCTTGAACCTGAAATAAAAAGTAGGTTATATTATTTTTTGTTGAGTTAATTGGCTGGCATTTCTAAAGGTTTTTGTTAACTTAAACGGGAACACGATTTTTTGAGCCTTCAAAACGAATATGTAGGTCGATTTTTAATAGTCGTTATTTTCGTTTTAATCTAATATATAAAATTCTCGTGTCACAATGTTCGTTCCCATACTCCTCCGAAACGGCTCGACATATTCCAATGAAATTTTTATGCATATTCAGTAAATCTGAGGATCGGACAACGTCTATTTTTCATCCCCCTAAAAGTTAAGGGTAGTCCCGTCCCATCCCTAAATTTTTATTTTTTAGACAATTATTTTTGTTTTTATTTTGTTATGATACAGCATACAAAAATACATACAACCCTTAATTTTCCCCCCTCTACAATCAACCCCTGTTTTTTATTGTAAATGATATACATGGCAAAATGACGTTTGCCGAATCAGCCAGTATATTAATAAAATTATTTGAACAGTGCCTGAGCGCGATCAGCCCTGAAGTCGTGTATTTAAACTCGAAGGCTGGGACACTGGCACATCTTAGGCTGTGATTCAGATGTGATGTCATTGCTTTTCATTCCTGGCAAGATTACTCTTGGCTCACGGATGTCGATCTGTCATGCATTCTGCTGCACTTTGCCTGTTCATTGTACACAGGGGACTGATTGTATCAACTTTTATTTATTTATTTACACGTGTTACATATCTATTGCACTCCGTTTGCCCAACACCGTTATAAAAGGAAATGGATAACAAATACCAACAGCTTTTGATAGGATACCTCACATCGGACCGGTCAATTCTCAACTAGTATATTATATCTATAATATAGATTATTGATCGTACATCTAATATCGGGCCGATTCAATTTTCAAATTTAATTAAGTCTCAATTATTGCACTAGTAATTTATTAAAGTAATTTAAATAATTTTTAGTTTATTGAAATTCACCGCTCTTCCTCTCTTAATTCACGCAAAAACAAGATATGAATAAAAATAAAAAAAAGCTGTAAATTATGCCCTTAAATTGTTTTACAGACAAGATTTTTAAGCTATTGCATAGATTTTATCGCGGGCTTTGAGGGCGGCGACCGAATCAAGAAATTCCGTAACGAAAAACCCTAACACACAATGACGTAATATAGGTGCGGCCAATACGCGTTAGAGCGGGACAGAACGCATCCTGCCTCTCACATCGGTTTAGCGTGATCGGATAGGCGTGTTAGTCCGAATCTGGTAGAGTGGTAAATTGAATTAATAGCAAAAAGAAAAATACTACAAATTTTTTTTTTTTTTTTTTGTAATAGAGCGCATCGTGCAATCAGTCTTCTGACTATGAGCAGATGAGTTGTAGGATGATTTTCGGGTGGAGATATTCCTTATAAGGAATATCGACCATAATAATATTAGCTCAGTCAATGCTGCTGAGCTCAAGAGTTCTTCGTCTTTTGAGTCGGTTTATATACTCACCCTGAGGTGAACAGCTAGGTGGTTAGGATGATTTTCCAGCCTAGTATTGTACTTCTGAGCGTATACTTTTATTTCCTCCTTGACTGTAGGTATGCCTAGGTGTTCATGTACTTCAGCGTTTCTTATGAACCAAGGCGAGTTGCTTATTTGTTTAAGGATGTAGTTTTGTGTTCTTTGAATTTTAGTTTTGTTAGAGTCACATGTAGCTCCCCACAATTGTATCCCGTAGGTCCACACGGGATTTATAACAGAATTGTAAATAAGGAGTTTGGTGTCGATGGACTATTTCGAGTTTCTACCCAGTAACCAGCACAGCCTCTTATATTTAATGTTGATCTCACACCGTTTTGTTTCGATGTGTTTTTGCCATGTCAATCTACGGTGCAAGTACAGTCCAAGATATTTAACTGTGTCACTTTGAGGCAGTTCCTTTCCTCCTAGGTTTACAGGGGGGCATGTCTTTCTTCGAAGTGTGAATGTCACTTGTACTGATTTTCTAGTGTTCACCCTAATTCTCCACCTATCGAACCAGTTGCTTATTTCATTTAGGCTTCGCTTCAGCTTTAACGTGGCTTCTTCGGGTTGTTTACTCGTAGCTAGGATTGCCGTATCGTCTGCATAAGTTGCAATGTTGACTTCAGAAGTACGCGGTAGATCTGAGGTAAATATGGTGTACAGGACTGGGCCAAGTACAGAGCCTTGAGGTACCCCTGCAAGGATATCATGAAAACCTGGTGTACAATCCATCTCTTTCACTTGGAATATTCTATCAGTGATAAAAGACTCTAGGATTCCATAGAAAGATGAGGTATGAGGCAGAAGTGACTTGATCTTGCATAAGAGCCCCTTGTGCCATACCCGATCGAATGCTTGTTTAATGCCAAGAAGACACAAGTTTGCGCGTTTTCCGCTAAAAAAAACACCCTTTGTCGCTAATCCTCTTTTCGAAAACACTCTTCTTAAAGCCACAGCCAGCATTGGAATACTTGGCGTTGACATATCGAGCGACGTTCAGTTTCGCGGTCACTTGGAGGGAAAGGCTAAATTAGCCTCCAAAAAGCTTGGTGTGCTCAGCAAGGCGAGACGGTACTTCACTCCGGGCCACCGCATGCAACTATATAAAGCGCAAATTCGGCCCCACATGGAGTACTGCTCTCACCTCTGGGCGGGGGCTCCCCAGTACCAGCTCCTTCCACTTGACCGTATACAACGCAGAGCGGTTCGAATCGTCGACGACCAATCCCTCTCCGAGCGGCTTGATCCTTTGGCGTTGCGTAGAGATGTGGGGTCACTCTGCATCTTCTACCGCATTTACCATGGAGAGTGTTCAGAGGAGTTGTTCGGATTAATACCTGCAGCCGAGTTTCATGATCGGACGTCGAGGCAGAATACGAAATTCCACCCGTATCACCTCGACGTCCGCCGTTCCACAACTGAGCGTTTTTCAAGGCAGTTTTTGCCGCGCACCACCACTATGTGGAACCAGCTGCCCACTGAAGTATTCCCGAACCAATTCGACTTAGGGTCCTTCAAGAAAAGAAAAGCGTACCAATTCTTAATTTAAAAGGCCGGCCAACGCTAAACCCGTGGGATCTGGAATTATAGAATTTTCATTCATTTCTTCCCGGGGCCCCCCCTTTTTTCCCCCCCCCCCCCCTTTTTTCCTTTCCCCCCCCCAGATTTTTTTTTTTTTTGTGGGGGGTTCCTTTTTTGCTTTTCCCCCCCTCTTTTTCCTCCCCCCCCCCCCCCCCCCCCCCCCCCCCCCCCCGTCCCCCCCCCCCCCCCCCCCCCCCTTTGGTTGTTCCCTCTTTTTTTTTCCCCCCCCCTTTTTTCCTTTTTTCCCCCTTTTCCCTTTTTTTTTCCCCCCCCCCCCCCCCCCCCCCCCTTTTTTTTTTTTTTTCCCCCCTTTTTTTTTTTTTTTTTTTTTTTTTTTTTTTTTTTTTTTTTTTTTGGGCGGGCGGAGGCTCACCTGATGTTACGATACGCCCTAATGCATTAGAGTGTCCATGGGCGGCTTTTTTGGTAAGTCAATTGGCCTAACATCAGGTGTGAAACATTCTTGCTGTGTCATACTTCGCTAAGGAGAAGACCCGGGGGGCCGCCCGCCCGGGGGGGGGGGGGGGGCGGCGGGCCCCCCCCCCCCCCTTTTTTTTTTTTGGGGGGGGGGGGGGGGGGGGGGGGGGGGGGGCCCCCCGGGGGGGGGGGGGGCGCGGGGGGGGGGGGGGCGGGTTTTGTTTTTTGGGGGGGGGGGGGGGGGGCGGGCTTAGCTTCTTTTTTTTTAGTATGATTAGAGAGAACACTTTTTAGTAAGCTTAAGTAGGGCACTCGTGAGCCCTCTGACACAGTGTCCATGGGCGGTATCACTTACATAGTTAAAGTACAAAAAAACACACCTACATGTGTATAACTGTATATACTGACAATAAAAATACATACCATATAGAGTTTGAACAGACGAACACAATTGAGAATACATTTATATTAAAAGATAAAAATATGTATTTAAAAGATAAATCATTCAACCTAATTTATGCTTGTTGTTCGAGTCGTTTTGGGTATTTTTACAAAGTTGAAGAGAACTTTGTAATTATAGTCTTTATTGGATATTCGAGACTATTTACTCTGCTTGAATGACTGATTGTCAAATATTTAACCTTGCCCAACATATCATCCACCCAAAGCCTGTGCCGAAACTTTATTAGATCGGTACCTTAATAAAATAATCCCAAGGGCTGATATCAATATATTGAACGCTAGCTGTGCTCTGTGTTACTCGCATTATTCGGTCGTAGCACGATGTTACGACGCTTTTTTCGGTAAAATAGGCTTGAAAATGTAAAAATATTTTTGAAGTGAAAACTTCTTTAGCGGCGTTGTACACTTTTTTTTGGAATGGGTAAAAAATATTAAACTCGCGTCAGGACACGTGACCTGATCGAAAATTCGTAAGACGGATGGAGAGTAGACAGCTGTCGCGGCGTATTTAATGTAATTTTATAAATTGTCATGTTTGTGTACGATAGCGCAATAAATAATATTGTATTCTACCGTATAAATGATATTACTTTTATACTGATAATTAAAGGAATTCCTGCAAAATAATTCCCTAACCATTCCAAAATATCAAAAATGCACAACGTTAATATTCAAGTTTTCACTTCTGCCGGCACTCCCGGAGTGCAATCCGTCGTTTTTATTTTTTTGTTAGACATGTAATGACGATTTTGTATTAGATATTGGTGTCTTCTATATAACTGTAGTACATAACTTTGCTCTATTGTCAATAGTTTCCGCAAGCTACGCGATTTAGGATTTTAATTGGATTCTTCTACCTTGGGTACTATCGTAATTTCCTACTTCTGTAGGTTTCTACCTAACCCTTTTTTTTAAATTCTATAGCGTAGGGTTTTAATGAAAACTGTTATTTTGGAGCGTATTTAA